TTATATTTATCCAAATTCAGAGCTGTTTTAAGCTTAAATGTTGTGTCCATACTTGCTCAACTGTTCAGGGTTCAACCTCTGCAGGAAAATCCTGTTTGCTGTCACTTGACAGCCTCTTGTTTATGATATGCAAGCGGGGGCATCATCTGTTTCCCATGGACACATTCCCCATTTATTTAACACCTGTCCATTCCTCAAATGGTTCTTATAAAACAAGAATGAAAAATGACCACTTGTCAGACAATTGGTTTACAATTGAATGTTTTTGCTGTAATATGAACAAAGAAAATGAAAAAGGAGATACGTGGTATATGTGGATTAGACACCAGCTCAGGGACACACCTGTACTTTGATCACTTCTAATTATGCATGCATTTTATCAATATCATTGAGAAGTTTTGTCTTTGACAATCCATTATAAATGCCTAATCTTTCAATTTGAATCTTTGACCTGATAAAGTAAAATCAAAGTACTGAAGTACTGAACATCCGATGACGGCAAGTTCTTGTGGATGGTCAAAAGCACTTGTCACAGAAAAAAATCACATCTCTATACCTGAAACTGAGGTTAAATTACAGAGATATATTTTTTTCTGAGACAAGTTCGTGTGTGGATGATGAATAAATGACAGGAAATTCAACCTCACCGTAATAACTATTATATTATAGTGATACAAATCAGTATACACTGGTTTGTTGTTATATATTATATTAATATAACAGTTACATATATATATAATTTTCATCCATTTGTATATCATTCTATTATACTATTCTAATAATAGTGCAGTGCAAGTGCATGGTGGACATTCTTATTTTTCTAAAAGATTGGATATGAGTAGGCATTCATATTTTCCCGCAAAAACAATTACAGAGTTACCGGTCCTTGCCGGGATTGTCGCAAAACGTTCTTGAGATATTCTTCTGCATGCTTTAACACAATTTTTCGGTACGTGTGCATAGATATTATCAATGATTTTTTACTTATATATATATATATATATAGATTCTACCACTGCATCGAGTGTGATACGATATTTATCCACTCGAGACAGTTAAATTTTCAAATTTAAAACGTGAGGCTCGCCGAGCGTTTTAAATATTTAAAATTTAACTGCCGAGAGTGGATAAATATCGTATTACACGAGATTTGGTGGTGGAATCTGTTTCTCTAATGATTTTCAAACAATACGCAGGCAAATTTATTCCTTCTTTTCGAATGATCTGCAAAAAGATGTGTTCTTTCTATGTGACGTCATCAGGCATGGTCGCCTTTTTTCATGCCGTCACAATAGGAAATTCAGAGGAAAGCAAGAAAATTTTACGTCATAATCTGATTTTAACCAATGAAGAACTGAGATCAAACAAACAACACGTTGATTAAATTTTTTTTATACAATGGGTGCAGAAAGGGATAAATTGACGAAGAATTAGAGAAATATATATATCTAATGACAAAACATTTTCATATTATTAATTTATGTTCTAAACAAAAATATTTTTATCAGTATTCAGTGAAGAGATGTTTTTATAGCAAACAATAAAGAATGTTAGTTTGCACTCGTTAATATCCTCGTATTTATCATGTTTATAGATCGGTTACAAACCCTAAACGAAAGTTACGTAATGGAAATCTAGGCGATAGCAATACATCGGAATGCCCTCAGGGTCAACGCGATGTAATAAAAGTAAAAATCCAAATTAATGTATAATCATTGCAATATTCAATTGTAACACTTACTAAAAAGCTACATAAAAAATGATTTCTGAATCTGCAGTAAATACATATCTCCAAACAGCTTAGAGCTGGTCATAATGCATTGTATGGACGCTTAATGTCTGTTGTAAAAGATTGTATATTGACACCTAGATGTCTTTTTTTTGGGGGGTGGGGGGGTGGGGGGTGGGGGGGGGAAGGGTATTAGGTTCCTGTCTCATCTGCATATAACCCACATTTTTAGTATTTTACTGATAGATGAACTTAAATTTTTGCTATTAACATTTACAAACAGTCTGGGATCAAAAAAATTGAGAACATCAATTACTTTGTCAAACTTTCATGGAATTTTATGAAACTTGGATGGAAGCTTCTTCAAGATCAAGAAATAGCATCTGATTTTTTTTTAATTTATTTTCTGTATTTTACTGATAAATGGACTTTTTGACAGTCAACATTACACTTTTACTCTGAAGTACATACAGCAGCAATAGCAGGAGAGACACAGCCGTTCTACAGACTGTTTTACAAATTTTCTATTCTTTAATACATTTCTTGATTGTTTTTATTATATCTAGATGATCAGCGTCAAATGATATAACATTACCATCTACACAATATCTCCCTTTACTTATAAGATTGGCATGATAAATGTTGCTGTATTATTTCAATAAACAAAAATAAATAATATATATTTAAGCATATTTAAAGAGAATGTAATTTGATTTGAAACATCATTAGTACATTCACATTTTTGTCTCACCTGTACTTGACTTAAAGCCAGAAGATAGTTATTTTAAATACAAAAACTTCACACATGTATAACAGATCAAGTTAGGATTTTTTGTAGAAATAATTTCCAGACAATGTTTTTTATGCTTGATTTTATTTAATTTAGGTTTTCTGCTTTTAAATTATTTGTTTCCAATTAAGCAGGAGAATTGTATGAAGTTATAATTAAGTTTACCTGTATGTAGAATTCATATTTTGAATACATATTATTCAAGTGTCTATTCCAGATGATAGTGTTTTGTAATTGTCTGTCAGATTTAAGAAGGCCTTTTTTGTTAGGATCTTTAGTTTGAGGGTTTTATTGGAGTACATTTGGCACCACTGCTACAATCTAAAATCAAACTTTAAAAATTTCTTATAGGTTAGGATAACAGATTTCCATTTAAAGTTAATCACTCTGACCTACTATTCATGCTTCATTGACCTAGATTATGTTAAATCATAAATGTCCATGTTACATTCTAAGAATTTTATGTCAAGTAGATTAGTGTGCTTTGATGGCCTCTACCATGGTACAATGTATTCTATGTTCCATTCTCTTGCTGAAAAAAGGTTTTGGCATGTGCTCCCAACTAAATGGGTGGATGGGAATGGATTGAATTTTTATACGACTGCAAACAAATTTTTGTGGTCGTATATTGGTATGACGTTGGCGTCGTCGTCCGAAGACACATTTGTTTTCGCACTCTAACTTTAGTTTAATATATGGATCTCTCTGACATTGTACCACAAGGTTTCATATCACAAAGGGAATGCTGGGATTGATTTTGGGGGTAATTGCCCCAAAATTTTAGGAATTAGGGGCAAAAAAAGGGGCAAAAAACAAGCATTTTTCTTGTTTCATGACAATAACTTGTGTGTAAGTGTATGGATCTTTCTGAAATTGTACTACAAGGTTCCATATCACAAAGGGAAAACTGGAACTGAGTTTGGGGGTAATTGCCCAAAATGTTTAGGAATAAGGGGCCAAAAGGGGGCCAAAAATAAGCATTTTTCTAGTTTCCAGACAATAACTTGTGTTCAAGTGTATGGATCTCTCTGAAATTGTACTGCAAGGTACCATACCACGAAGGGAAGGCTGGGATTGATTTTTGGGGTAATTGCCTCAAAATTTTAGGAATTGGGGGCAAAAAAGGGGCAAAAAAAACAAGCATTTTTCTAGTTTCCAGACAATAACTTGTGTTTAAGTGTACGGATCTCTCTGAAATTGTACTGCAAGGCACCATACATTGTAACACAAAGGGAAGTCTGGGATTGAGTTTGGGGGTGATGAATCATAAGGGGGTTCAAAAAATTTGAAGGGGGATTTTTTTCCCCTTTTTTTTCTTTAAAATTTTCCAATTTAAATTGGTTTATTTTTGATTTTTATATAAAAGCAAATAATAATGATATGGTTTGAATAGGTAAATTAAAATTTTTTAAGTTCTTAGACCACATTCATTCTGTGTCAGAAACCTATGCTGTGTCAAATATTTAATCACAATCCAAATTCAGTGCTGTAACAAGCTTGAATGTTGTGTCCATACTTGCCCCAACTGTTCAGGGTTAGACCTCTGCAGTCGTATCAAGCTGCGCCCTTTGTGGAGGGATGGAAATTTTAAAATCCACCCAAACTGTATTATGTTGTGATTGAGTATTTTGAAATAATTTATTCAAACGAGGAATTATTGATTCATTTAAGGGGTAGTATTTTGCAAAGTTTATTGATGATGTTTTACTACTGTAAATCTAGTATGATTGACTGTGGTAAATCTATGTAAACATGCATATAATTAAATGTCTTTATCCAGCTAAATAAACAGGTGAAAGTGATAAGATTGTGAAGCAGAAACTTGCTGTAAATATTTTATAAGAAAACTGTATATAAGCAAATCCTTGCATATTAACAATGATTTGAATCAATGGTAAATGAGGTTTAAAAACTGGTATAGATTTTTGTTGGAAAGAATCAATCTGTGATCTCAAGTAGGCTAAAAAAATATATATATATATAGATAAAATCATCAAATGATCACATTTTTGGTTAAGGTAGTTTAACATGAAGATGTGTTCACATAATCCCGAAACTTAGTACGCATGCTCGTTGTCAGTTTATAATATGACAAATTCAGATTTTGACCCTTATTTCATGGTTCCCTGGACCTATGATAGTGCGAGAGGGGCATGGTGAAATTATAAAAACAGTTTTCAACCAAATGGAATAAAAAAACAATTCTAACCTTTTTTGTTAAAGTCCTAAATTTCTACAAGAAAAACATGGTTTGTGCATTTGTAATTTTTTATTGTTTTTCAGTCTCATCATAATTCTATCACACATGGAATAGCAATAATTCATAATTGATAATTTAAGGACTCAATATCAATATTCATAGTAGTGTAAAGCCTGTTGACGATTATGGTTCACTGGATGTCTTATTATGTACCAACTATGACTATACTCATGCACTGTACAGAATTTATATATTTGATGACAAACATTGGTCTTTTTCAGGATGTTAAGATGATGGCAACAGATTGAAGGACTCAAGGTAAGAGTTTAATATGTGTGATTGATTCATTGATTGTTCCTAGGATAAATTAATCACTTGTTTGTATGCAGATATTGCTAAGCACTAGATATAAGTAATCCCTGGTGTATTGTTCGATCAAATTGTAGGAATAAATAAGGAAAAACTGTAGTTATCACTGGAGCTTGATCCAATACACATCATTGGTTTTGAATGATATGGTTGTTATTGGTTGAAATGAATGTGGTCTGAATTAATGTTTGCTTTGACTTCATTGACCTATCAATTTGATATACTTAACATATAATGCTTGTATTGAAAAAATGGCACATATTGTTTGCTTTAATGTTTTTTACCTATATAAGTATATGTAAGACAAAGTTGTTGGCACACATTTAATTTGTTAAGGTCAGTATTGAAATGGTGACATAAACTCCTGAAATAAAATAACATCACTTAAAAAAATTGTCAAGAAGTTATTGCAAAAGAAGGTTGGAAGTCATATGTACTTCAAACTGGAAGGGTGTTAATAGTTTCTAAAGATCTAGATATATGAGACAGCAACCTCAAACAACACAAAGAAAATGAAGACATTTAGAGGAAAACATATGATCTCTAACAATATACATGTGTTCATACAGTATGCCAACTATAAATCACCATAGGCCTAGTTTTGACAGATTCAACAGATTATTAAAGATTTGAACCAAATTTCCCAAATGACAAAAACAATAAGCTACTGTAAATTCAAAAATTATTTTGACGTTTTTATTAATGGGAATAATGCAACTGGCTGAGATTCACAATAATAAGAACTCGTATTCAGGTATCAGTTACCTACATTGTATATATCTGGTTGCAGACAATAATTAATCTATCTTTTTTGTCCATTCTTTAAAAATCGCAATAATAAATGTACACATTTATTTCTGAATTTACAGAATCACAAAACATAATAAAAAACATCCACTGTGGCCACACATGCTGCCACTATATATCTTATTTTTTATTTAGATCTCAATTTTCTCCTTTTAAAAATAAACTTTTATGTTAAAATGAAAAAAAAATATTTATGATATCAGCCCACTTTGAATCTTAAATTTGTGAAAACCCCAATCACACTGTAAGATAATGATAACATCTTAGAGAAAACATTTTTCATATATGCATTGTGATTTAGTAAAAAATCACTCTTCCAGCGGGAATTGTTTTTGGTGAATGCTGGTGATTTTGTGTTATTAACTTTTTCTCCTACAGCAGTATTTGAAAAGAAATTTAAGTGACCATAATTCAAATTGCAAACATTCTTATTAATCATGCACAATCACACTGTTTTAATGAGAATCTCTCCACTCCACTAGGGTGATTTTGTACTGAAGCACTTTGCGTAAATTGTATTGTTGCTGATTTAAAACAACTATCAGTGGCCTGTAGATAAAAAACTTAGAAATTAAAAACAGAATGAGGAAGTAAATTACAATGGTTTATTTTAAGTACTTTTATAGTCAAAGATCTAGTGGCTTCCTGTAAGATGATAAGCCTTATAAAGTTTATTGATTTAACCTATAGATAAACTGAAACTTAATTGAATAGTGCAATATATTTGAAATCAGTTCTAAATTTGGTACAAAACGTTTTTGCTAAAATACGAAAAGTTTTTTTGTCTTATGTTACATCTGATTTTTTTAACAAAGTTAAGGAAGTATTACATTAAACATGTTAAAAGATATTTAAAAATAAACAGTGTTTATGTCAGTTATTGAGATACTAATGTATGTTTGGGAATGTACAACACACCATGGCAACAGAGGTATGACATTTTTTAAAGAAAAAAGGACTGTTTTTTGGCATTGTACTAATTTTCATAATTTTATTAGTACACTTTACTTACAAAAGTGCAAAAAAAATGGTACACTTACAATACTGATTTCGTAATGAAATGCCTAGCATAATATCAATTAACCACAAATATAGATATGGTACTCTTTAAAAGAATGTTAAACACAAAGCTTAAAATAAAATAGTATTGTTCACATATTTAAAATACAAACAAATATATCTTTAGTAGCTTGTTTAACATATGTGAAAAAAAATATGTTGGGTATATGCTAATTAGACATTTGTTTTGATTTATCATTTTGATCAAATAACTAGGTAATAGACTATTTTCATATTACCGACTTTTGACTCCGGATTATATAATTTGTGGACTGGTTACCTTGGACATCATGGTTCTCTGTCAAGTAAGAGCAACCAAAATAAGAAAATTCAAACATATAATCGGTGTAATTTGAGGGTAAAGTTTACTGTTTTCCGATGATTTTGTAGTGAAATAAAAATGTTAAGCAGGAAATTTTCCCCAAAAATTGTACCGATTGAAAGCTTGGTTTTACTTCTTTAGCTTGCTCTTACCTGACTTGGTACCATGATGTCCAAGGTAACCAGTCGACAAATTATATAATCTGGAGTCAAAAGTCGGTAATATGAAAATAGTCTATTTAAACATTTTTATTTTTTCATATAGAAATTATGTTTTCCTTATTAAGAGTTATAAATTCATTGAAACATGTTGACATTGTGAAATTAAAAAAAAAAGAATAAAATTTCTGTCTTTTGCAGATTAAACATCTTGTAGATTAAATACCATGTGGCCTTTTGGTAAAGAGAAACCTCCAGGTATAGTATAGTTAATCTTTTTACATGTGTAAAACTCTTGAGATACTTTGGGTTTGATGCTGAGTTTGTACCGACAGTTCAGCCTTTAAAGAAGGAATTACCTCTTATGGAACTACATATATGGTTAATACATAGACTTTTTATATGTCCCACTCCAACGTTGCCTAGTTTGGGGGTCCCAAGGCCCCCCTTTTCCAAAATACTGGATCCACATTTATACAGAAACCACTGAACTGCTTTGAGTTTTTTGAGAAGTTCCATTCAACAAACTACCAAATATCTTACACCCAACACCAAATGTTTAGTAGACAAAAACAAAAAGAGATGAACAATCTCTGCAAAATAACAATTTGAGAACAGATAAATATAAACATTTAGAGGAGATAAATCTGTACTTATATTTACAGACAAACATCTACATATATGGAATTCTACTTAAGCCTTTGTTAAAATGTTGTAACATTATGTATAACCCTTATTATAGACGCATTAATATAAATATCAATACAAATTTACAGTGCTTAATTACATTAAGAAGCCAGCAAAAACTTCTGGGTCAATCAATCATTGATTAAGGTAGCATTGTAGTCTGGTTCATGACAATGTCAGTGGACATGTATGTAGTACTGATACATTTCAGATTCCATAACAATTAGTTTTCTGGGTTTGGATTCTTTGGAATTTGTTATTCTTTTAAATAGGAAATTGGTGATAGCTTCTCTCTTTCTTTCTTTCTTTCATGGAAAGTATTTTAACTTTTTTAAGGATGTATTCTTCTGACGTTTCAGTCTCATTAAAATCTTGTTCTGGAATTATTTCCAAAACATGTGATACAAGTGGAAAATATCAATGAATCTAAAAAAAATTATAATCAAACTTAACTATGTGAAAGAATTGTGTATCTACAATAAGTAGTTTTTGAATTATAAATTTTTCAAATTTTATTACCAATCAAGTCAGTCTTTTTAGCCAAACTTTTGAGAAAATGGATGAGGGGTACAACAAATGATTTTATCAGAAACATGTACATCCCATATCATTTTTTTCTTTTCAAATTTCTTAGATATGTATATTTTCAATCATTTATAACAGAGAAGTTGAAATAATATGCATTTTGTTCTTAAAATAGAGAAAAATCACAAATTTACAAAATTGACAGCACGGTAAATTTGACAAGAAATAACATCAAAATATAATAAAACTTTCTTATATTAACACCTACCTATATTTTTTGAAAGTTAAATTTATACAGAATGGTCCACTTCATCTTTATTGAAAGTATGAAAAAAAGTTTAATTGTGGAACTGTGGTATTTTTCACGATAATAGCCCAAAAATGGGAAAATCATCAAAATTGGGTACTTTCAAAGGGCCGTAGCAAAAAAAGAAGTGCACCACCATATGATTTTTTCTTCACCAATTATTTTTTTACAGTCATATAAACCCAAAAATCAGGTAAAGAAAAAAAAGTTTAATTCTAAAAAAATTGGCTCCTCAGAGGTGTGCATCCGGAAGAGTCTCTTAGATTGATTATCAACACATTTGTGTACTTACGGTGATTTAAAGCTTGACATTATTTATGGTAAAGACACTTGTCTGTTAAAGAAAACCTCTTAACATCTTTTGGGTTTTTCCTGCTGATTTCCTGTCTTATTGATATCTTGTCTATTCTCATTTAATTATTTTGATGAACCAAGAATGTGGAATTTAAATATAGTTATAATTCATTTTTATACGACTGCAAAAATTAAAAAAATTTTGGTCGTATATTAGTATCACGTTGTCGTTGTCGTCAACGTCGTCCGAAGACAGATGGTTTCCGGATAATAACTTAAGTATAAGTAAATAGAAATCAATATAATTTTAACACAAGGTTTATAACCACAAAAGGAAGGTTGGGATTGATTTTGGGGGTTATTGCCCCAAAGGTTTAGGAATAAGGGGCCATAAAAGGGGCCCAAATAAGCATTTTTGCAGTTTCCAGACAATAACTTGTGTTTAAGTGTATGAATCTCTCTGAAATTATACCACAAGTTTCCATACAACAAAGGAATGGTTATGGGTGGTTATGGCTCAAACCATTTAGCAATTAGGGGCAAAAAAGGGGGGGAAACAAGGGTTTTTATGGTTTAAGGACAATTTAGACAATTTAAAAGCAGTGTAAGGGAGGTAATCCAATCCATTTAAAGGATACTGTTGTATATATGTTTGATTACCTCCCTTACACTGCTTGTAAATTATGTATTAAGAAATGATTGTCTTGAGATGATTAGCTGTAAATTTATTTTTAGAAGTTACTATTAATTGATATTAATTTTAATCATGACTGTATGTCATTTTATATTTTAATATTTTATGATGTATTTAAATGAGTAGTTAGGGTTGCAAACTCCATTAGAAATTTGAAATGAGATAATTTTTGGAATAAGGGAAAGGGGAGTTGAAAAAAATTTGGGGGGGGGGGGGTGGTAAATAAGAATTTGTGGGGTGGCTACAATTTTTCTCATTTCAGATTTCAGAAATTAAAAAGAAAATTTATTCAAAATATTTTTTTTTTTGGGGGGGGGGGGGTTAATATTCAACAGCATAGTGTATTGCACAAAAGCAAAAAATTGAATATAAATTCAAATCATATAACCAATTTTTAAGTTCTTTGACTACAGTTATTCTGTGTCAGAAACCTAGTATGTGTCAAATATTTCATTACAATCCAAATTCAGACCTGTATCAAGCGCGAATATTGTGTCCATTTTTGCCCCAACTGTTCAGGGTTGGACCTCTGCGGTCGTATCCAGCTGCGCTCAGCGAAGCATTTTATTTAACATAACAGTATGTAAGAATTCTCATTATTTCAGTTGTTTAGGAAAAGTATCTCTGGAACTGAAAATTGTAATTTTGTGAAAAGGAATTTGGACATTTTATACAATCCTATCGATACTTTTCCTGATCATGTTAAAATTTTCAATAATAATTATTATTGTAATAGCTGGAAACTGTAATACCTTGTTAAGTGTAATAGCTGGAGACTGTAATACCTCGTTAAGTGTAATAGCTGGAGACTGTAATACCTCGTTAAGTGTAATAGCTGGAGACTGTAATACCTCGTTAAGTGTAATAGCTGGAGACTGTAATACCTCGTTAAGTGTAATAGCTGGAGACTGTAATACCTTGTTAAGTGTAATAGCTGGAGACTGTAATACCTCGTTAAGTGTAATAGCTGGAGACTGTAATACCTTGTTAAGTGTAATAGCTGGAGACTGTAATACCTGTGAGCATAAGCTTGATGAATAATTTACTTTATGTACTTTTAAAAGTTATAAGTTATATATAGCTTTTCAAATGCATATATACAACTCATTGGCTCTAGTTGTCATGAATCAGCCAATTTTGTTACCTAAAACTCAGCATATGAGCAATTAAATAAAGTTTAGTACAAATTATGTTGAGTTATGTAATTTCCATTGCTCTTTTTTCCAAAAATTTAACACATTGTTATAAAGATCACATAGATTCTTAGTCATCATGTGATATCGATCAAGTCTATCTGAGTCATCATGTGATATTGGTCTAGTCATTATGTGATATTGATCAAGTCATCATGTGATATTGATCAATAAAATTTAGAATGGAAATGGGGAATGTGTCAGAGAGACAACAACCCGACAAAAGAGCAGAAAACAGCCAAAGGTCACCAATGGGTCTTCAACACAGCGAGAAAATCCCTCATCCAGAGGCGGGCTTCAACTGGCTCTTATGTCTCCATGTGATATTGATCAAGTCATCATGTGACATGACCAATTATTATTAGATACAAATGTAATATTTTTCCCTTTCATTGATTTTCAAAACTTTATTTTAAATGTCACTGTTGAATTTTTAATTTAGAATGTTGTTTATTGAACAGAGTATTTTGTTGTTGTAAGTTTTGATGCTAATTGTGATAACAGTCCATTTTCAAAGTACTCATGTACTTTATCAATTTATGGAAATAATTATTACATTCTTTAGAAAATTAAACCCTTTGGTTAAACAAAATACAACATACTAGTCTAATCTCTAGTTCAGAAAACAATGTGGGAGATGAAAAGAGAATTGCTCACAACACCTTTATAATTGAATAGTTTTAATTCTCTTGGATTGAACATAAGGATATTATTATGAAAATGTCAATTAAAAGTCAGTTTCATTAATAGCTAAATATTTAATGAAATCAGGTGAATCAAACAAAAGTTTCAGAGTTTAATTGGATGTATGACATGGAAGATTTTTCTCTAGAAGTCCTTGAATTAAAATAAGTGGACTACATGGGACGCTTAACTGGATGAAAATTAGATGAATTTATGTTCAGTCAACTGTGGCAAATACTTCACACCTAATCAAACAATATATAAAAAAAGTACTGTCTGCAAATGGATTTCTTGTGATAAAGGTTAGGAAATTGGAATCCTATTTTTATGGCTAGAATTCACAATTAACTTGTAGCCATATTGCATTATCAATCAAGACTATCATTATATTTCCATTTTTGTGAAGACCTATATTTGGGAGTTTAAGAAATATAACCAATAAGGGTCCATTTTTAGCTCACCTAGCCTAAAAAGCCAAGTAAGATTTTTTCATCACTTGGCGTCCGTTGTCTGTTGTCGTCCGTCCACGTTAACTTTTACAAAAATCTTCTCCTCTTAACCAAACTTGGCCACAATCATCATTGGGGTATTTAGTTTAAAAAAGGTGTCCGATGATACGGCCCGCCAACTTACTTGCCGACATGGCTAAAAATAGAACATAGGAGTAAAATGCAGATTTTGGCTTATATCTCTTAAACTAAAGCATTAAGAGCAACTCTGACAGGGTAAAAATGTTCATCAGGTTAAGATCTATCTGCCCTGAAATTTTCAGACAAATCAGACAACCCGTAGTTGGGTTGCTGCCCCTGAATTGGTAAATTTAAGGAAATTTTGCAGTTTTTATACGACCGCAAAAAATTTCGTATATTGGTATGACGTTGGCGTCGTCGTCGTCATCTGAAGACACATTGGTTTTCGCACAATAACTTTAGTTTAAGTGAATGGATCTCTATGAAATTTTACCATAAGGTTCAATACCACAAAAGGAAGGTTGGGATTGATTTTGGGGGTTATGGTACCAACAGTTAAGGAATTAGGGGCCAAAAAGGGGCCAAAAATAAGCATTTTTGTAACTTCCAGACAATAACTTGTGTGTTAGTGTATGGATCTCTCTGACATTGTACCACAAGGTTTCATATTACAAAGGGAATGCTGGTATCGATTTTGGGGGTAATTGCCTCAAAATTTTAGGAATAAGGGCCAAAAAAGGGGCAGAAAACAAGCATTTTTCTAGTTTCATGACAATAACTTGTGTGTAAATGTATGGATCTTTCTAAAATTGTACTACAAGGTTCTGTATCACAAAGGGAAAGCTGGGTTTGAGTTTGGGGGTAATTGCCCTAAACGTTTAGGAATTTGGGGCCAAAAAGGGGCCAAAAAACAAGCATTTTTCTAGTTTCCAGACAATAACTTGTGTTCAAGTGTATGGATCTCTCTGAAAATATACTGCAAGGTACCATACCACAAAGGGAAGGCTGGGATTGAGTTTGGGGTGATGCATCATAAGGGGGTTCAAAAAATTTGGGGGGGGGGGGGGGATTTTTTTTTCTATTTTAAGACTTTTATGATGTATTTAAATTGGTAATTATGGTTGCAAACTCCATTGGAAATTGGAATTGAGATTATGACCATATTTGGTGTCAGAAACCTATTATGTGTCAAATATTTATTTACAATCCAAATTCAGACCTGTATCAAGCGCGAATATTGTGTAAAGCGAAGCATTTTATTGGTTATTATCTTGAATATTATTTCAGGTAGAGATAAACTGTAAACAGCAATTATGTTCACCAAAGTAAGGTCTTCAAATAAGTCAACATGACCAAAATGGTCAATTGACCCCTTAAGGAGTTATTAACCTATATAGTCAATTTTTAACAATTTTTTGTAAATTTTGGTAATCTTTTACAAATACCTTCTCCTCTGAAACTACTGAGACAAATTTAACCAAACTTGGCCAAAATCTTCATTAGGGTATCTAGTTCAAAAAATGTGTCCGATGACCCCGCCTTCCAACCAACATGGACGACATGGCTAAAAATAGAACATAGGGGTAAGATGCAAGTTTTGTCTATTATTTTTTGAACCGTTATGAATAGAGAAAATCTGAAAGGAGCAAAAATGTTCAGAATAATGAGCTCTACCAATTGTCCATATATGTCAAAACTGTTAGACAAACTCTTATAGGAGTTATTGCCCATAAATGACAAATTTTACCATTTTTTTTTCATTTTTGTCTATTATCATGAAAACTATGATATTTAGAGAGAAACATTTTTTTTCTGTTATGCCTTATGTGATTTAAATTGTAATAGATAAATAAACACTTTAAATCACAAAAATGATCAGCAAGCATCGCAAGGCAAGATCAATTAAAAAGTCAAATTTTGCCGATATAGTTAGTACACTGTCACTCTTCATAGGAATGATTGACCTTAAATGAGGATTTTTTTAACCCTCTTCTGTGTTTTGAGAAAAAACTAAAGAAGATAGAGAGAGACAAAACAGACTAAAAGATCAGTAATACAAGATCAACAAAATAGAGATTTTGTCATGAAGCCTATTCTCGTCTACAATGTTAGAGAGTGTCCTTTGTTTGTTATGCACATAGACCAAGGTAAGTGACACAGGCTCTTTAGAGCCTCTAGTTAATTTTGTTATAAGGAAGGAGGTATACTTTTTTATCTCTTTTGACTGTGTGTTTCTATCTGTCTGTCCCATGAAATTTTCATTGCATTTCTTTAAGGAACTACAGATCATTTTCTTGAAATTTGGTAGTGAGCTTCATGTGGGCATGCTAATTAATTAAGATGGCCAAATAAGCCCTAAAATGTAATTTCTCTTTATAGTGTCATTTTAGAAACAGTAGTTTTATGATGACAATTTATTTTATCTGTCTGCTTGGCTTAATGTGAACTTCAGTGATAAAGTGTTATTTAATAACATCATATATATATTTTATGACCCAATAAAATGCAATGTAAACAGTAAACAAATGTGATTGTAAATTGTGTAATGAAAGTTATAGCATTTTAAGATAGTGGGGAGCAATTCACTGCAGGTTAAAACTTTTCTTTTATCTTTGATAAATAGGGAAGTATCAGGTCACTCAAAGAAGTCTTCTGTGATAGCTGCCTTAACTTTAGTTTTGATTTGTATGCCCCTCCATGTGATAGCTGTCTTAACTTTAGTTTTGATTTGTATGCCCCTCCCTGTGATAGCTGTCTTAACTTTAGTTTTGATTTGTATGCCCCACCATGTGATAGCTGCCTTAACTTTAGTTTTGATTTGTATGCCCCTCCCTGTGATAGCTGTCTTAACTTTAGTTTTGATTTATATGCCCCTCCCTGTGATAGCTGCCTTAACTTTAGTTTTGATTTGTATGCCCCTCCCTGTGATAGCTGTCTTAACTTTAGTTTTGATTTTTATGCTTGTCCCTGTGATAGCTGTCTTAACTTTAGTTTTGATTTGTATGCCCCTCCCTGTGATAGCTGTCTTAACTTTAGTTTTAATTTTTATGCTCCTCCCTGTGATAGCTGTCTTAACTTTAGTTTTGATTTGTATGCCCCTCCCGGTGATAGCTGTCTTAACTTTAGTTTTGATTTGTATGCCCCTCCCTGTGATAGCTGTCTTAACTTTAGTTTTGATTTTAATGCTCCTCCCTGTGATAGCTGTCTTAACTTTAGTTTTGATTTGTATGCCCCTCCCTGTGATAGCTGCCTTAACTTAAGTTTTGATTTGTATGCCCCTCCCTGTGATAGCTGCCTTAACTTTAGTTTTGATTTGTATGCCCCTCCCTGTGATAGCTGCCTTAACTTAAGTTTTGATTTGTATGCCCCTCCCTGTGATAGCTGCCTTAACTTTAGTTTTGATTTGTATGCCCCTCCCTGTGATAGCTGTCTTAACTTTAGTTTTGATTTGTATGCCCCACCATGTGATAGCTGCCTTAACTTTAGTTTTGATTTGTATGCCCCTCCCTGTGATAGCTGTCTTAACTTTAGTTTTGATTTGTATGCCCCTCCCTGTGATAGCTGTCTTAACTTTAGTTTCAATTTGTATGCCCCTCCCTGTGATAGCTGTCTTAACTTTAGTTTTGATTTGTATGCCCCTCCCTGTGATAGCTGTCTTAACTTTAGTTTTGATTTGAATGCCCCTCCTTGTGATAGCTGCCTTAACTTTAGTTTTGATTTGTATGCCCCTCCCTGTGATAGCTGTCTTAACTTTAGTTTTGATTTGTATGCCCCTCCATGTGATAGCTGTCTTAACTTTAGTTTTGATTTGTATGCCCAACCATGTGATAGCTGTCTTAACTTTAGTTTTGATTTGTATGCCCCTCCCGGTGATAGCTGTCTTAACTTAAGTTTTGATTTTTATGCTCCTCCCTGTGATAGCTGTCTTAACCTATAGTTTTGATTTGTATGCCCCTCCATGTGATACCTGTCTTAACTTAAGTTTTGATTTTTATGCTCCTCCCTGTGATAGCTGTCTTAACTTAAGTTTTGATTTTTATGCCCCTCCATGTGATACCTGTCTTAACTTAAGTTTTGATTTGTATGCCCCTCCCTGTGATACCTGTCTTAACTTAAGTTTTGATTTTTATGCTCCTCCATGTTATAGCTGTCTTAACATTAGTTTTGATTTGTATGCCCCTCCCATTAGTCTGTCCTTTGAAAGAATAAATTTCAACATTCACATCATACTATCATATTACACATAACTGAAACTGTTTTGTTCCATCCCTTTGTCATGATTGTATTCTATTGATTGAGTGTTTCAAGATTATTGTAGCATCAACACTAATTGACAAACAAAGGCAGAATGCTTTCATAACGTCTTAAAAATAATTGCTAAGAAAATTTTTAGACAAGCATAGTGAACTGGAAGGTGCTGTTTGATAAAATTTGTATAGTGCTGTTGCTTCAGTAATCTTGATTGAAATGTACATGAAATTTAAAGGTATGGATTTCCGATTTATTTGACAAAGACTGTAATTTTATGGAGTTCTAATTTCATTTCCCTAGACTATATTTTAACAGAGGAAGAAAGATTATTTGATTGTGTGTTACATTTTTGTGTAAATGTATGAGATGCTCAATAGAATGAAACAGATATTTGAAGAAAAGAGTCGTGTGATTTTGGGAAAAATGTATGGTGAATCCTTATCCAGGCCAGTGGTTTAAATGCAGAAAAGTTAGATTTAAAACTGAGTAAAAATTAGAACCAGCATCCTGTCATACCAGTAGTTGGGGAAATATGCGCAATTGTTTCTCCATAGGCCGTAATGGTTACGTTATCTTCTGTAGCTCAGTCCATATCAAAAACTTGGATATGTATGATGGCTCGTTTCGAAGCTGAGACATTTTCACATATGTGGTTAAATTTCAGGGTACGAAGTGTGATTCATTTTTCCGTAAATTAGCATACCCCGAAAATCCTTTTGTAATGCAGCTCTTCATGGTAAAAAAATCCCTTTTTTCACACAATAAGTTCTTTGAAAATTTAATACTTTGAATACATGTAATAAGTCCATAGTTTTTACACTTTTGCGTAAATGCGTAAATGTTGCGGGGGACTCAGAAATACCGGGCATCTGTCTGTCTTTCCGGTCTTGTTAGTGTTCTCACAGGTACAATTCTTGCCAGATTTTTATAAATCTTATACTATAGGTTAATAGCAGCAATATCTCGGACAAGTTTTATAATGGTGGACAATCGACTTTTTTTAAAAGAGTTATGACCCTTGGAAATATTAAATTTATGGAAAATGGCCTTGTTAGCACTCTCACGGGTACAATTCTTGCCAGATTTTTATTAAACTTATACTATAGGTTAAGATGAGCAATATCTTGGACAAGTTCTAAAATGGTGGACGACAGACTTTTTTTAAAAGAGTTATGCCCTTGGAAATATTAAATTTATGGAAAATAGCCTCATTAGTGCTCTCACGGGTACAATTCTTGCTAGATTTTTATAAAACTTATACTATAGGTTATTATCAGCAATATCTCGGACAAGTTCTATAATGGTGGACAATCAACTTTATTAAAAGAGTTATGCCCCTTGGAAATATATAATATGAGCAACGCGGCGGGGGGACATTGGAACTCTGTTCTTTTATTTTTGTCTCGCCTTGACGGAGTCAAAAAGCAAGACATAGGTATGCTGTTTCCGGGTGCGGTCAACAATGTATTAGTTTGTGATTAAGTCTAGTTTATGGTGAACCACAAGTGGTAGGTCAATGATATTTGGTATGCAGTTGTATTAGCATTGGCACATCTCATTTCCATGAGATTATTTGGCCCTGCCCCCTCAGTCATGGTCTATTGACTTTGAAACTTTTGCTTAGTTTACATGTATTAGTTTGTGATTAGGTCAGTTTATGAGAAACCACTCGTGGTAGGTCAATGATATTTGGTATGCAGTTGTATAAGCATTGGCATATCTCATTTTCATGGAGATTATTTGGCTCTGCCCCCTTAGTCATGGTCTATTGACTTTGAAAATCTTGCTTAGTTTACATGTATTAGTTTGTGATTAGGTCAGTTCATAGGGAACCATTAGTGGTAGACCAATGTTAATTGGTATTCAGTTGTATAAGCATTGGCATATTTCATTTTCATGGAGAATATTTGGCCTCGCCCCCTCAGTCATGGTCTATTGACTTTGAAATTTTTGCTTAGTTTACATGTATTAGTTTGTGATTAGATCAGTTTAAGATGAACTGCTAATGTTAAGTCA